ACGGATGTGGAAAACATTTAACGATCATAACGGTGTCACAAAGTGCAGAGGTCATCCACGGACACTGCTTTTTTGCGCATACCGTACCGGAAACCAATTAGTTTTACGATGCATGTTGGGCTATTAGCACTGCCCTGAGTAAACCAGACCGCACACATGTGCCGAGACGACTTAGTTCAGTTGCACTGCAGCGGCGTTGTCCCAGCTCTTCCTCAATCAGCATCGTTTTAATTGGCCGACTGCACTTCCAGATTCCGAAATGAAGGCGATCTTCTGCATTGTGCTGGCTCTGTCAGCCGCCGTGGCTGCCAATGGAGGCTTCTATCCTTTCTCGGTCCAGCGGGCACCCGACGCCTTCGACAACTACAATCGCAACCACTACAAGACGGCCAAGCATAGCGGGTGAGTCACTTTGTGCACTGTCGCACTTCGGTGCCTAACTTATCGTCGCAGGGTTATCGGAAATACGACCGCTGTTGCTGAGCATCTCATGACAGAATGTGCTTTTAAATGGTATTACCGTGCCTTCTCGGAGGTGCACTGTGGTGGAGGTGTCGGCGTTACTCCACCTCCGATGTGGACGCCCTTCTCGGGCGACATGTGTTGGGCTATAACGTCTGTGTAATAGTCGAAATGCATACAAAAGTATTAAAGTAGTGTGGGTGAGGTATAAAATGGAGGTACATCGCCGTGGAGATGAAATAGCAACTCACCAGCACCACCGCCATCTGTTGCCAGAACAGGAAAACATTCAGATGTCAGCATAAAGAGCCTGTTTAAAGGATGTGCTGCGTTTCGAAATGGCTTTTGGTGATTGGCACATCAAAGTTCGTCAGTATCTAAAGACCAAAATCTTGAAAAGTCTTGCCCATCTAGCGTCCAATGTGTATATTTCAATTTATATGGGCCAACTTGTCGAGATCCAAGTTCAGTTAGAATTGAAATAAAACGTTACCAAGAATTGTCCGCAATCCAAAAGGCCATCAAGACACAGGGGCATCATCTGACGTGGTAATGTGATGACATGCCTGGGATGTTTCAGCTTGTTGGACCGCCTGTTTGGAGCTAACCGGCGCCAGGGAATCCTCGAAGGCCTGGGAGGAATTGGTGGACCCGGTGAGACACCCCTTATCCTCGTTTAAACGGAGGCATTGGATATACTAGTAACTCTGCTAGCAACCTTGTATGGTAAAGTTGGTTACTTCTGCTAACAGCGATGGAAGGTGCAGGAAGCAACACTATGACGGATGTTGATGATGATGATGATGTTGACACAAGCAAGCAGACCGCACGACGGCACGTTGCGCAGTTGGAGAGCCGCTTTTTGTAGAAGTGCACGCCAGAACTCTTTGACCGCTGGTCCTGTCAGTGCAGGCCTGTTGCAATAGCGGATGGCCGTTTTTGGTGATCCCGCTGTCGGTGTTGGCAGTCGCCGTGGTTGGGGGGTCGCTGGTCGCCGGTATTCATAGCCCTACTGGACTCGCCGTCGTCATCGCCAACATCAACTCATCCGGCCGAGGTCTGGACACGGACGGACTGGAGGACAGCCAGTCGGTTTGGATGGACCAGCTGGTGCGGGACTTCGAGGACTCCTGGCAGACTACGGAGTAATCCTCAGACATCTAGCAACTGGGCACGCCATTTCAAGAGCCCATCAGCACTTTAGTTTTCGTGTTCATCCGGGCGGTGTTCATCTTGCTTGGCGGACTGCATAACGTAACCCAGCCTCGAATGTTCTTGTGTTCTCGTCTGAAAGCTGATCATGAACTGGACCAGAGAAGCTCGCTTAATTCGCTCCGCAGTTTAATGCATCCTCCCCCCCTTCAGACAGTTCATCTGGGCTCCTGCTGCGGCTGTGAGCCGTAGGCTTCCAACGTTTTTGAAAGGTGCTTTCTAGATGTTTTGCGATGCGCCTCCTCCGCCCCCTCCCACGCGCGATCCCACCATTGTGACGCCGCTAGCACGGACGGATGGGTTTTGAAGTCAAGCTTGGATGTTTTCCCCTCCTGTTGACACAAGAACTGTTACATGGCATTTACCGGACCGCATCAAATTACTTCGGCCATTCACGTGGTATTAATGATGTGACATGGGCTTTTCCCTCTACTGTTACGTAGGAAGGTGCTTGTCATTTTGGCCGATTTTCTACCGAACAATGATTACTGCTTGTTTTGTGCGTTGTTATTTGGTTTCGCCAGTTCGTTGTTGTTATTCTTTGCGGTTATAAGCAATTCTTAACTCTGCGAAAAGACGCAAGGAGCTTGTTGTTACGCCTTGTGTATTGATAATTACCGATGTGATCTGTTATGAAACGTCCATCATGTGAAATACATTTCCATGAATGTCTCACTGGTACTGCACCGCACGGGTGTCGATTTCTATTCTTTTGTGCGGGTCCTGGCCCTTCCCCCCCCCCCCCCCCCCCACCTCCTCCCAGTGTTGAGTTGGGCCCCCAATGGTGACTTGTCTCCCAATGGTTTTGGCCGGAATGCTACAAAAAAAATGTGGGTGAAAGACGATCACAACATAACCTATTCCTTTGATCCTTTCCGCGTAGTGGCGTCTCGCTACCACTCATTACTGAATAGTCATGGCTGCTCTCACCACGAGGTACAAATCGTAACAGCTGAGCGGATATAAACGATGCAATGAACTTCACATATATAGCGTCATAAGACACGCAATGGTTTGTGAAGTTAAAGTGAAAAGCCGTGGAATATGGGGATTCTCGAAGTCCTTCGTGGCTAACCCCGTCGCCAATAACACAAATTCGTGCCACCTCCAATGACCGCCATAGAAGTGCGCCATCGGCGCACTACAGTGACCTCTAAAGGGTCACCTGCATGTGCCGATCAGAAGAGACGCGTGCATCTAGTGCTTACTCCCTAGATCTAGTCCTGCATGACTTCTATACTGCTGAAATCAAATACTTTTATAGATTATACAAATATTAAACACAAATATAGCGCTAAATACAAATAAAGTGGGCTACATCCGGACGTCGGTTTGCTTTTGGTTTGCCCCCCATAATTTGCAAAAATTGACACCCCTTAAGCGTCCAATGCAGTGGACATAATCTTTTTTTTTGCAGCTTGCATGTGAACATTATGTGTGCTAATGATCTCGGTTCATAAATTTATGCATCACTTTTCGTCACTGATCTTAGTACACTTCTTTTCGAAGTTCACTAGCAGCCCAGCAGCCCCCTAGCTTCTTAACTGCATATGAGGAAAGCTACTGCGTATGAGCTTAGAATTCCATGCGATTAAGCTCATTATTCATGCAAGTGTGTTATAAAGCACAATAGTTAAGTAAAAACAGGCAAAATCTAGCCAACAACGCCCAAACATTACCTCTGCGAGCATGACCAGACTGCAATGGCACGTACCGCCGTGATGCCCAAGCCAACCATGTGTATCAAAACGCGTTTATTAATGTGTCGTTTCTGCGCCACAAACGTCATGAAACCTGACGAACTAACCGGGATTCGTCAGCATTATTTTTCACGTCGTTTATGTTGGTTGCCAAAGACGCATATAGAAACGCAAAATTTGTGCTGATCGCTGTATGCGCAGCGGAGTGGCAGCATTGGAATGACGTTATTATGGCGTCATGGATGCCTGGGTGACGCCGAAATAGTCTACTCGAACAAGTCTGCACATCTTGGCGGGCGTGTAGTTAAGAATCTTGAGGGGCATACGTGTTAGAAGGGCGGGGCTGTAAGCTGTACAGAATGATCTTCAAGATGGCTATTTCAGTTTAACACCCTATAAAAATGTGGAACACTCCCTTCAGAGAGAATGCCCCACCAAGTAAGGTATTGAAGCGTGCATCAAATTTAATGACATAAGCTCACTTGTATCTTCTGGTATACGTTTAAATAAGAGATTGCTCTGGACAACACAATTTCGCTGTTTGGTAGTTATGTTTCTCAACATGTCATTGTTTGATTGCGTTATGGTATCTTGCACGACTTTGACTGAGAGCCAATTGACCGCTGTTATATCAGGAAATTTGGAAATGGCTACTCTAGAAATGGAAAAGACTGCTCTAGAAAACACGATTAGCCTTTTAAGTAAATTTTCTCATCGATACGTCTCTCGAACCCACCCTGCCACAGGAAGATGAAGAGGAAGACAGACGCTCCAACAAATTGGACTATCGGACGGAATGTAGTGCCTTGTGGGACGGCCGTACATTTGCTATTTGCCACAGAATGAACATGATGTTGATGGTGTTGTGTTTCAGCGTCTAGCGTACAGAAAAATTTCACAAATACAACAGAAGTTCAGAGACATTCGCAACATTTCTTTAGCACAGCGTTCCATTTTTTGCTCCTATACATTGGAAAGGGTGGGACGGAAGAGTATTGATGGGCTCAAGTCGGTGAGGGGAGGGCCAGGCCTCTCGAAAATATACAAAGTGACGCCCCTGAGAACCAGGTTTTTGGTTTCCTTTGCACTGAGCTCATTGCATTAGCTGTGTTGCCTTTAGTCATGCAGATGCTCTGAATATATTTAGACGGCAAATAAAATAACAAGAATGAGCAATAGCCGTAGCTTCACATCCTCACCCCAGATGCACGGTGCCGCGCTGCAGACAACCCGAAGCACAGGTGGATACGCCAAAAGGTTTTCCTAATCATAATATGTAGAAGATTGGGAATCAACTTGCCAAACGACATCAGTGCTCAAGACAATGACAAGCAAACTTTTTCTAAGCGAGTATTACGGGAAGAAGCGTTCAAACCATGTTTCAAGCCGCCGGTTATGGTTTTCGCTCGCACAAAGCTTGCAGTTATGCAGTGATTCTGATGTCTTGGGGGTCGCGTTTTGATCTACCCTTTGTAGCATTTATACATTATGAGCCGATGTTGCACCATGCTGCATTAATTGCCACCTGTGAACCCCATGTTGCCCTAATGGTGTGCAGGATCTCCGCAAATGTTCGTTCTCCAGAACGCTGTCTTTTTCATTAATGCTCGGCTAGAATGCCCCTAAACTGATCAAGGTGATTTATCAATTGGTGCAGTACCAGTGAGACATTCATGGGAATGTATTTCACATGATGAACGTGTTCACAACAGTTGACATGAATAATTATCAACACCACAGGCGTAACAACAAGTTCCTTGCATTTCATCGCAGGGGTAATAATTGCTCATAGTCGCCAAAAATAACAAAAACGAACTGGCGAAATCAAATAACAACGCACAAAGCAAGCAGTAATCAATTGTTCGGCAGAAATCGTCCAAAGTGATAAGCACCTTCTTATGTAACAGCAAGAGGAAACAGCCCATTTCAAATCATTAATACCACATGAATGGCAGAAGTCATTTGGCGCGGTCTGGTAACTAACATGCAACAGTTTTGGTGTCAACAGTAAGGGAAGACATCCAAGATTGACTTCAATACGCATCCGTGCATGCTAGCAAGGTGGACAGCATGGTGGATGCCGCCCGCATGAACACGGAAACTTAAGTGCTGCCAAGCTCTTGAAGTGGCGTGCCCAACTGCCAGATGTCTGAGGCCTACTCCGCAGTCTGCCAGGAGTCCTCGAAGTCCCGCACCAGCTGGTCCATCCAAACCGACTGGCTGTCCTCCCAGTCGTCTGTGTCCAGACCTCGGCCGGATGAGTTGATGTTGGCGATGACGACGGCGAGTCCAGTGGCGGCTATGATGCCGGCGACCACGACCCCAACCACGGCGACTGCCAACACCGACAGCGGGATCACCGAAACGGCCATCCGCTATTGCAACAGGCCCGCAGTGAAAGGACCAGAGGTCAAAGAGTTCGGGCGTGCACTTCTACAAAAAGCGGCTCTGCAACCGCGCAACGTACCGTTGTGCGGTCTGCGTCATAGTGTTGCTTCCTGCACCTTCCATCGCTGTTAGCAGGAGTAACAAACTTCACCATACAAAGTTGCTAGCAGAGTTACTAGTATATCCAATGCCTCCGTTTAAACGAGGATAAGGGGTGTCTCACCGGGACCACCAATTCCTCCCAGGCCTTCGAGGATTCCCTGGCGCCGGTTAGCTCCAAACAGGCGGTCCCACAAGCTGAAACGACCCAGACGTGTTATCGTATTACCGCGCCAGTGATACCCATTTCTTACGGGGGCCTTTTGGTTGCGAACAATTCTTGGTAACCTATCATTTTATTTGCAACTCAACTTCGATCTCATAAATTAGCTCATTTAAATTGAACTACATCGATTGCTCGCTAGATGGATATGCCTTGTTCAGCATTTTGCTCTTTAGCTACTGAAGAAGTTTGAGGTGTCGATCACTAAAGCCATTTCGAAACGGAACACGTAATTCTAGCATGCTCTTGATACAGATCTCTGAATGCTTTCCTGTCTGGCAACAGATGGCGGTGGTACTGGTGTGTTGCTATTTCATCTCCGCGGCGATGTACCTCCATTTTGTACCTCACCCACACTACTTTAATACTCTTGTATGCATCTCGACCATTACACAGACGTTATCGCCCAACACATGTCGCCCGAGAAGGGCGTCCACATCGGAGGTGGAGTAACGCCGACACCTCCACCACAGTGCACCTCCGAGAAGGCACGGTAATACCATTTAAAGGCACATTCTGACTATCATGAGATGCTCAGCGACAGCGGTCGTATTTCCGATAACCCTGCGACGACAACTTAGGCACCGAAGTGTGACAGTGCACAAAGTGACTCACCCGCTATGCTTGACCGGCTGGTAGTGGTTGCGATTGTAGTTGTCGAAGGCGTCGGGCGTCCGCTGGACCGAGTAAGGATAGAAGCCTTCATTGGCAGCCACGGCGGCTGACAGAGCCAGCACAATGCAGACGATCGCCTTCATTTCGGAATCCGAAGCTGTAATGCGCCAATTATATTCAGGAAGGGCTGGGACAACGAAGCTTGCGACGCGATTAGAATGGGCCATTTTCTGACCCTGCGTCACATACTATAGTTTTGTGGTAGCTAGCTTCGCACGTCGGTGGTACAAGGGTCAAGGAAAGTTACTAGATATCTCACCCCAAAGCCTTATTCCCAACCATTCACAGTGTGTTGAATTTTCTTCCACGGCTTGATATGCCTGGAAATTCTTAAAAGAGTGAGCATTTAGGCTTGAAGCTAAGACATATCGTCGGTACGCACTGACTGCATCCATATCAAACGATGATGTCGGTGTGCTCTTGCGCACACTGATGAGTTCGACGATTTTCTGCCGCACAGCACCGGGCCGTATAACATCGTGTACGGTTTAGCTTCTGTTCTGACCATTGCAATGCACCTCAACTAATCTGTCTCAGCACATGCCTGCGGCTGAGGCCACCTCACCATGCCACGGCGGCTGACGCCAGCTCACCATACCACGGTGACTGACGCCAGCTCACCATACCACGATGACTGATGCCAGCTCACCATACCACGGTGACTGACGCCAGCTCAGCGCCTGTCGCAGGGACGGCCCGCAGCCAGTGACACGAGCAGACCTCGCCGCCAGTGAGGAGCATACCGGCACGCAGGCGCCCTACACCACACCGCCGAGCGAGCGGGGTTGACAAAGCCGGACGCGGGTTAGCGCCACCTGCCGACGCCGCTCCGCCTCCTCACCTGCGTTCTTGCCTGACCGCGATGAGACCTCAACCCCTGGTGTGGGGAAGGAGCTGCGCATGCCCGCTTATATACCCGGTGCTAACCAGCTGACACACTTCCAGCACTCCTGTCCCGGCTTTCGATTCGAGTATGTCCTTTGCCTAGCGCATAGCAAGGCTGCATAGTTGTAAACAACGCCAAGCGTGGTTGGAAACAGAGAACTGGCAAGCCTTATGATAGTGTTTAGAAGTCAAGCCTCAAAAATCTTCTCGCACAGTTGGTAGGTAAAAATAAAGGCACGGTAACACATTTTTTGTTTTATATTTTATCACGATCAATAACTGAGGCTTTTCAATCAGAACAAACCAGAGCGGCTGAGAATGTTCGTCGTGTCGCATAATTGGGCATCTGGATTTCCCTTCTTCAGTTGTAATTTGCCTCGTTCTTATGGTGTGACTGGAACTTTGCTAATTCATAATTCGATGACAGCGTTGGTTTCAACACAAAGCTACTTTACGTTCAAGAAAACTACACTAGATAACGCCGTAACACAACGAAACTGATGGCCATATGACAAACTGAGTGATAAGCTCGCCTGCAGATCGGCGCCGAACCTCGCCACAATAGTACCGCTGGCCAAGACCAGTCTTGAGAAGTACAACTCAGTTGCACATATTTGTCGCTGAGTTGTTGGTCTAAGGCGTCCTTCAATGCATAGGCGTATGAACGTTTCAAAAAGTGGCGGGGAGGGGGGCAAGCAAGTGCGTACTTCAGGAACTTTTTTCTGCAAAGGCAGCCCGATGACCAGGAGGGGGGAGGGGGATAGAGGTGGAGGTTGTTATCGCTCTGTATTCAAATGTCATGATTGCTATGTTAAATATGAATCTAGACATGTTTCTCACCAGTGCACAATCTTGCCTATTCGACTCATCTACGTCATTCGGCAAATAAGGCATCCAGCTTCCCAAGAAATTCCACGAGCGGGTGGGAATTTTGCGTCATTGAGGAGGCACCTCCTTCACAGAGTAGATGCCAAAGTACGGCTTGGACATAGGATGGTGAGAGTTTTGAAAGTGGATTGATGGCTCACAGTGCGATAGATGTTTCAAGCGTCTTCATTTTGCTGGCTTCTTTTGAACACATAATACTTGTCACAGCATTTTCGGCGGAAACAAATTCGGAAGCTTGAAACTGCCAAAAACAGCGTGACAGAAACCATAAACTGGAGATTCTCTTTTTAAAAACCAAGCGAGATAATGAAGACCCGTCTGCCATATGTTCCTTATCTGGGCCCTGCTCACGTCCGCCGTCGGCGACCACCGCCCTGGTCCGGCTGTCTCCCGTATGACTGACTGCGAATCGATCGTGTGGCTGCTTTGTTGCATATTTTTGGATCAGTGTTACTGCTAATTGTTGTGTGAAACATATGGTGGACGCATGCAACAGTAGCTTTTTCCGAATTATTTTCCCTTACACCACACCACCGCAGAAAAACATTCTTCGGGAAGCCTACGTTGCGTATGAGTTGACCCAACAGACAGTTCATTTCCCATCATTTAACATAGACCACTTGATCTGCCTTTGTTTGTAGGCAGGGTCGTAGCCAAAGCCTTGCCAAGGGGAAGCACAGGGTTGACAAAAGCCCTTCTTATGTCAACTCATCCAATTTTTACATTATAGCCACAGCGGAAACCAGAAGCCACCGTGAGATCAATTCTGTCTGTATTATGAAGCGAATCAACTGCAGACATAATGCGTTGAACGACCGCATGGAACAAATCACCGGCGTTCTTAATTTACCTTTGTTTAGTGGACCGCTTCCAAACCGATAGGATTCAGAAGCTTTGTCGGAATTTTTTTATCCAAGTTTTGCAGACATTACGGACATGGCGAAGGTAGATTAGATCAATATGTTTGATCCAAATCTGAGTATGAAAATTTGATTGTAGATCGAGTCGTCAACAATCTGTATTCACATGGCCAAACCATGTTTGTTTGTAAACGTTCACCATTCAGTCAGAATCGATAAGTGATACAGTGGATGTAACGTGGTTCTTTAACATGCGCGCACGCAAATCTTAACAATAAAAACATCGACAGCAGGCGTTGCAGTCTCCATAACCAGCGAAGCGTTAGCTCAGCGGCCAACTTTTAGCCGTGGCCCACAAGTGGACGATAATAAAAACGTTTCTGAAATGATTACCTTTTAACACTCAAATCGATTAATATTACATGTTAAGTGACGTAATTTTGAGCATGTGCATTCGCAACTTTTGACAACAAGAACCTCGACTCAAGGCGTTACACTCTCCGTAAGTCGCGCAACGTCGCCCCAGCAGCTAATAGCGAGCCGTGGCCAACGAGTGGACAAAAATGATGACACTTCCGAAAGGAGTATCTCTGAACGCTTCATGACATCAAAGCTTACATTTGGAAGGTAGTCTGGGCGCATATTTCACGTGTACGGGTTTAAGACTGATGACAAGAACGTATCAGCGCTTAAAGCACTGCGAAGTAGGGATGGAATCTGGCGGATGAACTGGGAGAGTAAAGCTAGAATATTTATTTTTGTGTTTATGAAACCATTGATCTGTTCATAAGGCAGATTAACACGGCGCCCGATGTCTGGTAGCATTCGCAGCGGCCGAAGCCGTTCGGTTTTACATCTTATTAACCAACGGCAAAACATGATAAAAACGGTGGCAGTCATCACTGATCTTACATTTGTCAGTTCATGACTGCAGACAAGATGCTTTCTTGAGGGTGAGAACGAGGATCCTGTCAACACCACAGCAGAGCGCGACATTGATGACGCTCTGATGACCTTCTGGGCGGCCCCCTGGACAACTTTGCGGGATTGGTCGGGACGAAAAGTGACTCCAGTAGGGATCAGCCGGGACGAGAAGTGACTCCAGTAGGGATCGGTCGGGACGAGAAGTGACTCCAGTAGGGATCAGCCGGGACGAGAAGTGACTCCAGTAGGGATCGGTCGGGACGAGAAGTGACTCCAGTAGCACGGGACGATACCGCACACGGCACAGGCTTCACTGGATTGCCTGGAGACTGCCTGCTGGTATATGGAAGCTCGATAGCTCAGCATGAGATCTATGAGGTGACACTTCCTAGAAAGAAATGAACGCCTTCCTGGCTTCTAGCAAATGACCGTTATTCTTTGACCTGACGTAAGATCACAGTTCGTAACAGTCAACCCTTGTTAGCAAACATTCGATTCTTTTCCACGAGCTATGCAACACCACTTTCCACCCCATCGTCGTGCGCTTAGTTCTCGAGAGGAGAGGAGGGATGAAAAAGTGCTAATCTGACCACTATGATAGGACTTGACCTGAACAAGATGCGTTCACCGTTCATCAGACAAAAGTGGAGATAACTTACAAAATATGTACCATTAAATCTGGTTTAGATCAAGCGGCCCCAGCGTGCCTCCGCACAAAATACGTAGAGATAGCAGCAGGAGCATAGGATCATAGAATTGTTGAATCTTGATTCTCAATGTCATTATCAAAAACGTGCGTGCTGCCTTACTTTCTCCTGGGTTTTTAGCTGCCGTCAGTGTGGCAGAGGCTTGGAGTGCCCGTGAGAGCTGTATAACGCCAAGGCCTTACTTCCAATGGCTGCTCCTTAACACAATGCTTCTCGAAAGAAGACATAAACAGCCCAAGTCCCTCGCAACTGCCCACAGGTACTAGATCACATGTCTATAATTCATACAAGCGTTTTCGCGCCTTGTCAACTGGATACCCGGTCCTCAGAGGGGACCAGCAGGCGAGTAATCAACACGTCCGATATGTCCGAGCCCCGGTCACACCTAGTCAGCGCCTGTGGTATGACTAGTGGGCAGACGCATGCTTGAAGGCGATCCTGAGGGGTACTGGAGATCAGCTGCCCTCGCGTCACCGACAGTGAAACAGTGCTTAGCAAACAATCAAGCTACCATCTGTGGACTTTATGAGACCATGGACTGCCCACTAGACGTCAACTTTCACGTCGCCGAATTTCTGGAGGTAAGCAATGGCCTTCAAAGCAAGTTCTTGGCCCAGAGTAGTTCTTAGAAATCTAGGCAGCTGAGTTCTTCGCGCTCCCACATCGAGGTGTTCGAAAGCTCACGCCAGCCACGCCACATTTTCTGTGCTGCTTGTGCTGTCACCTTAAATAGCCTTCGAGCGAACATGGAGAACCAAATGCTGACCACGCTGAGAGAGCTGCATGTACAGTTGCAGTTCATCACGCCGTAGGTTATGAGTCGCATTTACCTTGCTGCATAGCGAACTTATTTGCACTTGAATACGAATACGTTTCGCACTATTGGAGAGCAGTGAACGCTCGGCGCACGCTGATTTCCAATGCGTAGCGATGCAACAGCTTTGTGCTCTGGATATCTTATTTGTGTGCTCTATCAAGAACGGAGATCATAGCCTTAGGCGCTTGCCTGTCTACTGCGAGCAGAAATCTTTAAAAGAACACGAAATATTCGCGTAACATGGTAGGGCTATCTGACGTGTCTGTTAGCGGTTTTTGGGACGTCTCAATAAAGCTCAATAGTGTTTCACTAATGTTTCTCTCCGACCAATGCTCTCCGAGCTTTAATACAATTTGTGGGTACAAAACGTCGCTCGTTCCAGACCGTCAAAGCGCATGGGTGATGATTTTGTATGAGCATGACAATGGATAATGCTGTCCGGATTTCGCGACGCTAGAGCATCCTAACCATGCTGTAGTTTTGTGTCGTATCTTATCCTAAAGACTTACACCTAGAAACATGGAATCGCCGTTCGGAAGCAGTTATCATGTGTCTGGCTTCGTGACTTGATCCGAACAATTGCAGGATTGAAGGGGATTGAGGATGTCGGAGGCGCCCCGCCATGCAGAGTCTATGGCGCAGAAAACGACAAAATATCAGCGCCACGTGTCAATACGCCAATACCCTCTCCACATTTAACTATTTTCTCTTCATTCTCCGCACTTTACTATTATTCCGCACTGACGAATATGTCTACGGATGCTGGATTATGGGCAGTGTGTGGATAGCCGCAGGGG